AATTCGGCGATATCGTGACAAAAGAGCCGAACACGTGTATGGCTGATCAGGTGACACGATTCAATAAAAATGCCTACTAGGTATCCAGTTTCTGGGTCTGCTATGAGGCTTTGAGGTGCGGATGCATGGTTTTCGTGACAGTAAAGTTTTAATTGGAACTTAGAAGGGGATTTTAGGAATTAGGAATTAGGAATAAGTTATTGATAGTGTTTATATTGGTATACTTTGACTGTCTTATCTAGTATAACCACAGCTAGTTCTAGTTCATCTCATAATTAATAATCCTCTCATCACAATCCAAAAAAACACATCTAACTTCCCCTATCACACTCCCATTCTCCCTGATGTAAGATTATATCAAACCTACGAATCATCCTTCCTCAATAAGCAAACCTTCTCTGCCCCTCCATAACCCTCCTATTCATCCACGCATAATAAACCCTTAGACCCACACAACCTACACAAACAAAATACAACAGCCCCGCATTAACCCAATGACCCAAGGGAAACCCCTCTTTTGCCTGATCCGCCTTATATATCCAGACACCTGCAATTTGTCCTGGTGCTCCTATTGATATATTAAGCGCGATAGCAAGGCCAATACCCGCTGTTGAGAAGATGTTTGAAGAGAGGAAACCGAGGAGAGGTGGGATACAGGAGAATGCTCCTGAGGCGGCGATGATGAGACAGCCGTAGCGGGAGGCGTAGGATGTTGGGGGGAGGAGGGCGGAAGCGGTGAAACCGATGGCGCCGACTAGGGCCATGGTTGAGGAGTGGAGAGCACGACTGGATGGGTTAGATAGGGATGGAAGTGACGAGGTAGATGTTGAGGGAACGGAGGAGGAATTACTTACGCGTTGAAGTGGTCAGCGGACCAAGAGACGAGAATTGTTATGACATCTGGAGAGGTTAGAACATAATAGAAGCGGAGAGAATGATAGATGTACAAGCAACAGCGTATGGAGGAACTGTCATAAGTTGAGCCTCTAGATTTTTGTACCCAAGACCAGCGGTAATACTCGGTGTGAATAAGGATAAACTCGAAAACGGTGTTGAGATACCAAAGTAGATCTAACTGTAGGTTAGAAAATCATCAACCGTCATGTGATATGCGATACTCACTGCATAATGAGCATATAATCTCCAAGTACAAAGAGTTTCCTTCGCTTCTTGCCACGTCAATCCCTTATCACCCCCTTTAGATCCTTCTGTAGCAAGTCTACTTGTAGCTAAATCCTTCTCATCTTTTGATAGCCATTTTACAGTCTCTGGATAATCTGGCAGGAAGAAAAATACCAAGATGGACGACAAACAAGAAGGAATTCCCTCAATTACAAATAACCATCTCCAAGCTGACATTCCATCTGTACCATTCATATGACCAACACCAAAAGCAATAGCTCCACCAAAAGCTCCAGCGAGTGTTGCGGAAGCGAGAATAAATGCAACGCGAATCGAACGTTCTGAAGTACGATACCAGAAAGTAAGGTAGTATACAAGACCTGGGAATAATCCTATCATTATATTAACTACCGCCCGATGGTTGAGGAGATTTGCAGTTTACCAGCTTCGAACATCCCAAGAAGAAATCTCACAACAGTTACACTAGAAAAGCTATGGGTGAAACCAAGTCCAATAGTCATGATACCCCATGAAAACATCAGAAAGGATATGCATTTACTCGGACTGAGTTTCTTGAGGAAGTAATTGGATGGGACTTCGAAAATTGCATAGGCGATTAAAAAGACCATCAATGCAATGCTACATCTGTTAATAGACCGATTGATGAGAAATGAGATCCACACGTACATATATTTTGAAATCAGTCATATGTGTATCCGAAAGGAGATCATCATGAGTAGAAGAATTGAGTGTTTTAGCATTGCCTATTGTTTATCAGCCTCTTACACGCGACATACGTTTTACATAGTGGTACTAACCAATATTGGAACGATCAAGGTAACATAATAAGTAGATACCAGCACAGAGTGGCACAATCCTCAAATCTTGTTTCCAAATCAGTGCTTTGGTATTTCTCAAATTGTCTTCTGTTGGGACATAGTCTGTTTCCTGAACTTGCTACATCGGCTTATCAGATCGACGTGATGAAACGTGGCGGAGAATTCTACTTGCCTCTTTCCCTCCTTCACTATCCGATATGACTCCCATGATAGAAGAATGCTGATGAACAATAAATTAAATATCAATCAAATTAGAAACGGGTATATCGAAGAACGGTAAGAGAATATATACACAAGAGGGACAGCAAGAGAACTTGGTGATACTACACCGCCAGGATAGTACTGCATGGTCGATGAAATCTTCCCTCTTATTAGTCCACGGGACACAACAAGAGCGGGGTTCGCTCGGATTATGGTTATTGGTACAACTGCTGGTATAAGCACTGATCGGGGTCTGGGGTAAAATCAAAGGAGGACTAGCGTATTGATCAAGCAATTTATTTTCCTAGCCTTGCATAATTGTGGCTGGGGAGAGAAAACAAACATGACCTCGGGATGTTTACGACACAAGCCTCGTCCGATCAGAATGTGATAAAACCTATATTAGTACAACATCAGGATAGATAGTAAAGTTTTCAAATGCGGGAAGTGTATAAATGACTGAATATCGGTTGTATACTCCGCAGACTGAACGATATAAACTGAGAAGGAAATTCCAGTTCGGATCGAAATGGTCAGTCAGGACAGTCCTCTGTCCATAACATCCAGTGTTGCTGAAATATTAACCTTTGTGGCTGCTATTAAGCAGTTATGTATGGTCGATTCAAATACTTACTGAATGCTAACAATGAATATGTTTGCAAGTCAAGGCATCCCTCTCGTAGCATAGAACGACATTTACAATTGCTTCATGACCTCGTGTATGCATCGAATGGGAACAGAGGATCGTTCTGCACATGGAAAAATCCCAGATGTATGTGTCCATGATGCAAGAGCTTGTAAAACTTGAAGAAAGATTACTGGAATTGGCAGCAGAGGCGGAAATGATCGCTAATACTGGAATTGATCAAGGAAAGAAATGGGCTTTGGTACCGAAAAGTATGGCATTTAGAACGGATGTAGCTATATCATGGCTACTCGTGAGGAGAAAAGCTTTAGAACCAGTTAGGCAAAGAGATGCGAGAGTTTCTTTTCTCAAATAAGTATGATGCCATCGTAAGTATAATATCTAAAGGTTAAGGGGCTCGACACCGACTAAATTAGGCGAGTTCGAAACCAAAAATCACGGGCAAAGAAACCAAAAAAAATTAGACCACAAAAGACTTGACCGTCTCGAACGTACATTTGATTCTCAACATGAGACGCTAGGTCGATTGGGAGTCTCTAGTATACCAATTGATGCATCGAGATCGAATCGAAGCCGAAGATGTCCATCATTAGGTTCTTCAAAGCTTTGAGAATGATATCGATCACGAAGTCCAGTTCTGACAGAAAAATGAAATATAACACCTTTACTAGTGTCGGAAGTCCACGATCTCGAGAACCTCGAGAAACCAGGAGGGACGACCAGTTAGCGGGAAATTGGTGCCACCGATATTAAGTCCAAGAAAAGATCCATTCCGCCGCTTCCGGTTGATAAAGTCAAGCATCCGTTGCTCCCTTGCGTACTTCTCTTTTTCTCCAGCTAACATTAGCATCATCACTAGCAGGAGCAAGACATATGCGTCTTTCCTCCAGTCAAAAGGGACGTCCCGCAGTTGGTGCTGGACTAGTTACCGGTGATGCCTTAGTTGTTGGTATGGGTATGGGCATGTGGGGCACCAGACGGAACCTCCTTGCCTTCGGCACGGAATATCTCTCCCATTATCCAATGTTCTATTTTCAGATGACTAAAGGAATGCATAGTCTTTGACCTTAAGATAGATAGCACAAAATGCGACACTAGGTACTGCCCATAGGATGTTCAGCTCAATCACTGACCAAATCCAGATAGTTCCTATTGGCGGAGCTTGCTTCATGATGGCGAAACTACCATATTCGTTTGTAATATGTATAAGATAACATCCGGCGCTTATGCTAGCAGCGAAGAAGAAGATTTCATGTAGGTAGTGATACGCTTTGGCAGGTAGTCGGGGAAACAAGTGGGAAGGTTCGGCATGTGGATGAAAGGCATAAAATAGGAGCCAAATGACTGTCAGAATCAGATACTTTACTAACATATCCAAAAACAATGTACAACTTACCAGGGCATGATTGTAGAGTCCTAGATATTACCCCTTTCCAGATGATTTCTTCCGCGTATTGATGAGTAACCAATACATCCAAGGTAAAATGTAACATGGTAAGACTAATTGCCCATAATATCGATTCTCCTAGTCTTCCTATTAAAATCTCTTCGTTTTCTGCATCTATTTCAGCTTGACGTTGCCGCTGAGCCTCGCTCAAATTTCGTTTCGCTGCGATGTCGAGAAGAGTTTCGAGGGAGGGATCAGGACCAGATCTATCGGGTTGTTTGAGTTTAATTTTCCGTTCTTTGCGAGGCATGATGATTGATATTCTGTGACGAATGAAGATATACTGTCTTCGCTGTTCTAAAGGAGTATAAATTCTGCGAGCCTTGTCGTCTGAAGGTAGTTGGAATTTGATGCAGATACGTACAGCGAATGATCAAGGCTGATGAATTTACGGTCAGACGAAAGGCTGCAGAATACTCGAATAGTCCGTGTTCATGCAAAAGCATATAAATATAAAAACCTTGTCATTTTCCAGAACATTGGTCAGTTTTTGATCTGATCCCTTGCAGTAAACCTTATTAGCGCAAGGCTCAAAGACCCATTTAAATTCTTGACCGACAAACCGGTGATGGATGAATTAATGATTTCCACTCGTTTCTATCCACCAACCCCTCACAACTCCAAAACAACCCCAATTATTCTCTCACACATAATCCATTTTCATACTCGCTGTCGCTCCATTTCATTATCTCCACTTCCCCAACAAATTTCTTCTCTTTATTACTTTCGACATGCCCAAAATGCAATGGACCTATTTACTCACGATTCCCATCATCACGTTCGCTGCATGGCAATATACTGTCACAGTTGTTAACTCCAAATTTCCAAAACTTCGGAACAAGAAGATATGTTTGTTAATAGCGCATCCTGATGATGAGGCTATGTTCTTTGCGCCTGCTATGCAAGCTCTCACAGATCCGGAACTTGGAAATCATGTTAAAATTCTCTGTTTGAGTAGTGGTAAGTAAACAAGCTGCATGCCATGGGGCGGAGATGAGCATATATTGATGTGCAGTAGGTGATGCAGATGGGTTAGGGGAAACAAGGAAGAAGGAACTTGTTAAGAGCGGAATGCAGTTGGGTTTGCGACAAGAGAATGATGTTTTTGTTTTTACAAGTCCGTACGTCTTCCTGAAATCCTGTCGCATATGTAATCTTGCTATTTATGCTAATCATTTTTCTGAAACAGAGATTTCCCAGATAGTATGACGAAGACATGGGATAAGGAAAAGATAGCTAATCTTCTCGCCTCTGCATTTTGCCCTCCTCATACAAGAAAAGCAAATCTTTCGACTGCGCCAACTGCAACTATCGATGTTATTTTGACTTTCGACGCTCATGGGGTCTCTTCACACCCAAATCATATTTCCTTATACCACGGCTCTCGAGCCTTAATCACATCTATGATGCAAGATCGTCCAGGATGGCAGTGTCCTATTGATCTTTATACCCTCACCAGTGTCTCCGTTTTCCGAAAATACACATCCATATTAGATACCTTAAACACTATGGTAATCACCGCATTCTCAAAGAAAGAAATAGGCGATCATCCAAGTCATTTGTTAATGATGAATGGAGTGGGGCAACTTAGAACTGCGCAGAAGGCCATGACGACAGCACATAAGAGTCAGATGCGGTGGTTTAGATGGGGATGGATTGGAATGTCAAGATATATGGTCATTAATGATTTGAAGTTAGAAAAGGTTGTTGTTTAAGACAGCATCGGGAATACACAGGTAGGGGATAGGAAAAAGAGAGAACGAAAGGAGAAGTGTTTGCAGTGCAGTGCACAGTACAAACCAACTTGATGAACATCTCTCTCCCGATAAGGGAGTATGAATGGATGAGAGATGAGAAATGCGTATACGATGTCATCAATTCTTTTTGGATCTCTTTTCTGTATTGTTTGTTATTTTTTTGTTCTCTTCAGCAAGATGCACAGACCTGGCTAAAAAGTCATCAGCCTTTCATCAAACTTGCATATTGTATTTAGAAATATATTGCTTTACTTCATGATACCGAATATATAAACTATGATTCATTTCATTTCCTTATTTGCTCAATTCAGTGTCCTACAGGAGATAACCGAACATTCATAGGTCAATTCGATCTTCAGTAATTGTCATATTCCCAAAAATCCCGACATCTAATATTCATTCGTTTTAAAGTCTAGTCGCATACAATATAAAGCTCTATACTCTTCCCAATTTTCCTACCTCAAATATCACCGCTAGCCATCAAGTCAGCCATAAAAATCAGATACAAAAGCAAATAAACGAAATAGTCGTTACACAGCACGAAAGCAAAGCAGAACAGTCAATAGGTTGTTGCATCAAATCATCTGAATGTGTCTCCAAAACACAGTGGGAAGGAGGTAAGAAATGTCTTTTTTCTCTAAGCCACATTCACGAAATCCTCAAATCGCGTTGGGTGGAATTTGGATTTGCATTACCTGGGATTTATGTTTTGAATATCTAGCTTTAAAGTTTTGGAGTTCCAATTTTATTACGGGTCTATTTCTTATTCATGACTATGCTGTCTCCTAACCAATTTCATATTCTCGCAAAACTCCTCTAGCACCCAAATCGACAAATGCTCTCATATCGAAATCAAATACGCAAGGATCGACATCGCTTACTCAATCTTCCGGAGCTCTTTGTCAAAATATTGATCATAATGAAGGTCGGTGTTCGACTCAGCAACAACAACGAGAAGAAGAGCAACAACCTGAAGAAGATGAAGATGAACAAAATCTCGACACAATAGGCGAA